TACGGTAATAGGCGAGTTCCCGCCCCGCCACTCCCCTCCGCGGTGACGTCACCGAGGGATATCGCGGTCGCTAGGCAACGCGAGTCAACAGCGGCGACGTTACGATAGTAACAGCGGTTACCTCCGCTAGCGTTACATAGCAACACAGCGCCAGGCAAAAAGGGTGCCTATCACGCGGCCGTTTTCCGTATGGTCCGATCGAGGCTACATGAGGCGCAGCGAAGGCTATTCACAGTCAGTTGTACGGAGTCAGTCAGCGAGTCCTGGACCTATCGTCGAGTTAGCCAGCAACCAGTCAGTTGTATTGTGGCATTTGGAGTGCACTAATTGTGATACTGCAGATAGCAGTAATCGTAAATCTGTAATTTGGGTGATTGTAAGAGCGAGTGTGAAATAAAATTCGCTACATCGAATACATCGAGAATTTATTTGTCGCGATATACGCCCGATACGCGACACTATAATTTCTCCGTAAGTCTTACGGGTTTTCGAGGTACTTAAATAGAACGGAATTTTATGCTGTGTCACCTAATTAACTCGAAAACTGTTGTACTAATTGTGTTCTAATTTCGTATTGGAGTTCCTTGTTGATCCTCCGTTTCACGCAACTCACAGACAAGTATTCAGAAATAATGACAGAAGGAACGCGACAGAAATGTTACGCTGTGTATGCATTTCCTAACTTGTTTCGTTCCCATTTCGTCGTGTCGTTACCAAGGAAACCACTCCGGACTACAAGGCACGTGAGTGGCGACAGCTTTTTGTTCCGGTGCACGAGCCTGGCTACTTTCACTACATGAGCCGCGATTGCAGTTCCTGCGCAAGGTATCCGCAGGTCTGACAGTTCTTCAACAAACACCTCACGATTCGCGAATATGCACTGAAGGTATCCGCTCAGTCGGTATAGTGAGGGGTCATGGGTTGGGCAGGTCGCTTTCGATTCCCGACTCTGCAAGTTTCTCTTCTTCTCCAGAGTGTTCAGACCGACTCTGGGGCCCACCCAGCCTCCTACCCAATGGGTACCGGGAGTAATACGGCAGAGACATGAAGCTGACCACTCATCTGAAACTAGTGCCGGGACGAAGAAAATGTGGATTTATACATCCACTGCCCTATACGTCTTCATGGTGTAGTAATTAATTAGTTAAGCACAGGTAAAACTTTGGGGGAACGCGGTAGTGTAGTTGGTTGAGGCACTATACTACAAGCTGGGAGGTCGAGGGTTCGATTCTCGGTGAGATCATCGTATTTTTTCAATTGACCTAATCCTTCCAGCCGCACTATGGTCCTGGGGTCGACTCAGTCCCTAACAGAAATGAGTTCCAGGAATCTTCCTGGAGGCAAAGTGCGGCCGGCGCGTAAGGCTGACAACCTCACCACCATCTATGAGCCGCTTGTGTAGAAAATGTGGGAACCTCAAGATCTCACAACTCTATGGGCCTTCACTGCCTGTTACAGGGTAAGCTTTACCTTTACTGAACATAATCATGGCCATGTTAAGCTCCGTATGCCACAAATAATACTGCCATGCCATGGAGATGTGGCTCCAGGAGTTCCAAACTCGGCATTAGATGGAGGTATGTTGTCATCTTCGCGTTCCGGTCGTTTTAGCCCCGGGGAAGGAACCGGCGGTACCCATTAGGCATGAGACTAATTGGGCCCCAGACACGGTTTGGACGTCGTGAAGCAAAGATCTCTTGATGCTCCAGGGAATCAATCCCTTATTCTTTGGTCATCTGGACCATAACCTAGTCACTGTATTATCTGAGCTACTCTAACAGTAGACATAAGCTTTACAGCCTACACTTTCACCGCGTTATCTACTCTAAAGCAATACATCAGACTCGTTAAGGCTTCACCAAATTGATCCTATGTCCATAGCCCTTAGAATCGCGTGTTGACGAAACGGTGTGGGTGAACGTACCGCTATGGGTGGGTGGGAACTGGACTCAAGTGGGTCAGGACCCTTCGGCATGCAAACGAGTTTACCTCACGCCATGAAGTCGTCGGCAGAACAATACATATCAGAACGTTACTGTTTCACAGCAATCTGCGCCTCACAATGGAAATTTAAGAAGAAAAATCTGCTGTTAGTTGGTACTTGCGCTGCTCTCAAACTTGCTTTACAGACCGCCTGTGAACTGAAATAAACCAGAGGATCGAACAGTATTGTCTCATATAATGTTTAATTATTTTTACTTCATTTTAGAAACCTGTCAGTAACTCGGGGCACGCGGTAGCGTAGTTGGTTGAGGCACTATGCTACAAGCCAGAAGGTCGCGGGTGCGATTCTCAATGAAGTAATTAGATTTTTCTGACCTCCTTCCACACGCACTATGGCCCTGGGGTCGATTCAGCCTCTAACGGAAATAAGTACCAGGAATCTTCCTGGGGGTAAAGGGCGGCTGGTGCGTAAAGACGACAACCATATCACCATCTGCGAGCCGATTGTCTAGAAAATGTGGGGGCCTCGGCGTCTCATAACCTTATGGGCCTCCACAAACTGTTACAGGGAGAGCTGTACCTTTTTACCTTGTCAATAACACAGACTGCATAGAGTTGAGTGACTGTATGATACTGTATAGTGAATTGGAAATGGTACAGGAGGAAGTGATCGCGGTCTGATTCAAGGTCTTATCCCAAAATTTCTTGGAGGAACTAAGGAAAACCACAACAGATCTCTCTCAGAACAGAATTATGGCTTTCAGCAGACATGCCACAATTCTTCAGTTACGTCCTTCTCGTTCCTTCTTTTTCCTTTTGGACGCAGTGCAGACTTCGGGCCGTATATTCCTTCACTCACTTTCGCCAGCTGAAGAGGACATGTGAGCAGAACGCTAGAACCAGACCAATTAATGATCTCACAAGAACCACATACCGCAAATACTCGCTACAAGTGACAAGCTAATTATTTTGAGACGTAGTGAGAACGGAACCTGTATCACACGATCCGCAAACAATCGCGGGAATATCTGCCCGAGTACCCTCAGTTCCATTGCAAATGAACCGACTGAGCCGATGAAGCAGGTTTTGTTGTTATACGATTTGTCAGTCTAGAGAGTTACGGAATCATAAGCTGAGAATTTATGCTCGTTGACTTTCTTGGAAACAGCAGAGTAGCCTGAACTCAACTTTTTAATTGACCTTCTTCAGAAGAAGTAATCACAGATCGTATTAGGAATTCAGAATGTATTTAGATTTAAAACTTGAAAAGAGAACCAAGTTTCTTTTAAAGACAGGTTTCTATGCCCAGGAGGTTTAGTTTGAATCATGCACACTTCTAATCTAACAGCTTTTCAACGCCGATTTCTCACGGCCATTTCGATTTCTATTAATAATGAAGAGAAATTCAGTTCGTTAACACTCTAAAGCCCAGTGGTTACTACATTGAACCACTTTACCACTAAGAAACTCTCCATTTTTCCCGCACAGTGTATTTATGTGTTCCGTACGGTTCTCACAATAAACAGCTGCAATTTCCCTATGCAACAGTCAGTATCAGAGTCACGGTTACTTTACGACTGACGGTTTAACGTTAATCAGTTCGTCTTGTCGCCAAGTCCTTGAGACTCACGACCAGCATATTTTTTCAACTGAACCGTTGCCGTCATATTCCTTATATAACATCTTCTTCTCTGACGAGAGGATGGGTCGGCCATTTACAATTGCTGCTGGGCCTCGCCAGCTTAGTCATTCCCGAGTCCGAGTTCCACGAGACTCATGGTTACATTTTACTGTCTCAGATTCGAGACTCCCCCAACCTGGTGGACCAGGTCCCTGTATTTATATCCCCCAGTGGTAGGGTGGCCCAGTTATACCCTCAGGCACTGGATTCCCGCTTCGTCACCTCCTACGACTCGCACGGCTATGGTGGAGGTATTCGACCCCTCCACCGCAAGGGCTCCTGAACAACATGAAACGGCTGGTGGTGTTATGCAAGCGCGGTGTTCCCTGTGAGGTACGAACTTAGGAGCATAACACTAATCGCAGATGAAATTGGTGTCTCAAAGGATGGCAGTAGTTGGCGAAAGCTAGCAGCAAATTACTGTTCCGTTCTGCTCAGAGCAATTCACAGAAAGGCCAACCCATCCTCTCGCCGCAGAGGACACTCCATTTCAAAACGCTTAAGTGGTCTTGGAACCAGCAAAAGTAACGTCATGGATCCTGATGGGGGCCGAAACCAAAAATGACTGTGCTGACGAATCCAGCAGCCAATTACTGTTCTGTTCTCTTATCTGTGCTTCCAGTTGTGAGATGCGGACATCCGGCGGTGCCCGTGAACGCCCGCGTGTCCCTGACGAACCCAGACCTGGCATCAGGCACTGCAGCCATCTACACATGCGACGAGGGCTACGAGTTGTTCGGGTGAGTTGCTGCCAACATTGCAGAGCTCAAGTTTATATCTGCTTCGCAATGTTTATCAGACAGAAGCAAACAAGAAAGTCTGACGGGGGAAAAAAAAACTCGATGGCATGGACATTTTTATGTGTAATAAAGTCAGGGAATATAAATGACGCCTACGAGCCTGAAAGTGCTTAACTAGTACCTATAAATAAACTAAAACTACACAATACAATTATCTGTTCGCGTGTACAGAAAACCTTCGCTAATACGGAGTAATTAATCTGGACAGAGGTCATCCCGTTTAGTGAAGACAAAAGAAAACTCGGAACACAAATAACCAGAAAATGTAACGATATAAGTAGTGTCGGCCGGTCACGGTAGCCAAGCGGTCTAAGACATGCACTGTCTTCTCTCGCTTGGAAACCGGGATCGTGGGTTCGAATTCCACTCAGAGCATGGATGTTTAGTTTGTGTGTGTGCGTTTCTCTGTGTTTGTGTACAGGTAGAGGCCTTGCGACGAGCTGATCACCCGCCCAAGGAGTCCTACCGAATGTGTAAGATTAGAAAAACCGAAGAGAACGGAGAAGTTCATGGAGGTAGGCCTAGGCCCACTGGGGCTGTAGTGCCAAAAAAAAAAGTAGTGTCGATAAAAATAAATAAAAATATCAGTGTAGACCCTTTATTTTTTCTCCTTGGCACTACAGCCCCAGTGGGCTTAGGCCTACCTCCATGAACTTCTCCGTTCTCTTCGGTTTTTCTAATCTTACACATTCGGTAGGACTCCTTGGGCGGGTGATCAGCTCGTCGAAAGGCCTCTACCTGTACACAAACACAGAGAAACGCACACACACAAACTAAACATCCATGCCCTGAGTGGAATTCGAACCCACGATACCGGTTTCCAAGCGAGCGAACACAGCACCTGCCCTAGACCGCTCGGCTACCGTGACCGGCAACAAAGCTGTATTATGTTCCTATTTTAAGACAAAAATACAATAAATGACATTAGCTAAAAACGCCAGGTGTATTATCATTATAAATATTAGTTCTGCATTCCAATTCTAAAGCAATGAAAAATGTGACCATCCCAAATATATCGCGATCACCGCAGGGTTGAGAACCACTGATTTAGAACCCTGCGCAAAGTTAAATTCGCAAAAGACGGCGGATTCTGGTTTTGAGCGAAACCGCAGCGCCCAACTCCGGTAGCCTGGGTTACAGACGCTGTACGGTAAGAAATGTTACCTCTGCCCATGACGTGAGGTAATACCATTTTATTAACGAAATGAAGGCTTTACTTTCACCGTCAAATTATAGAAAGGCAATGCATTACAGTTTCATGTTAATCAAATTACTCATATCCAAACAAACAGCGGATCAGACGTACAAGTTGGTCTAGCATCATAAGATTTCTCTCCTTAACATGATGGGGCAAGCGGTAGCGTAGTTCTTTGACGCACTATGCTACAAACCTGAAGGTCGCGGGTTCAATTTTCGATGAAGGCTCCCACATTTTCTAGACAATCTGGTCACACATGGAGGTGAGGTTGTCAGGCCCTTTACCCCCCAAGAAGATTCGTGGTACTCATTTCTGTTAGAGGTTGAGTAGACCACAGGGCCATATTGCGGCTGGAAGGATTAGGTCAATTGAAAAACCCATTGAACTCATCGGGAAACTAACCCGCGACCTTCCGGTTTGTAGCATAGTGGCTCAACCACCGACGCTACCGCGTGCTCCCGCTTCCTTCAAAATCCTTTGCAAATTATCATTCATTAATTCATTAATGATTCTGTATAGTCTCACTGATAAAAGCGTGGTTAGAGAAGCGACCAGTGCGAAATATATAATTTCTTTTGCGCTGCTTCCTCTGTGCTTGCCGTATTGCAACATTTGGTCTGTACTTGAATCACTAATATTGAACCTTTTGGCTGGAAAGGAAAGGCGAAACAAGTTGCTTTCTGTGATGGACACAACACGTGTAAGCAGGACGGTCACTGACGCCGCTCTCTGTTGCAGCACCCCGACCGTGGTCTGTTCGTCTGGCGGTAGCTGGCAGGGGGACCTCCCGTACTGCGGTGAGTAGCGCAGACCGCTGTACCTCACGTCACAACACTGTCATGCCTGCGCAGTCAGAAAACGACGCACCGAGAAATTCTTTTTGCCAAGCCGTTGCCTAGAAATGATATGGGGGATACATGTGTAGACACACAGACTGATGGGAGGGGTTTATGAAGTGCGCCTTTGAGATGGGGGGGGGGAGAGTACATAAAGAGGAAAAGAATATGAAAAGTGAGAGGCACTTCATTTTGGGGGCGGGGGAGAAAGCATAATTTTGTCAGAAGGTTCCCAGGCTTCGCCCGTCCGTCCTTACAATAAGGGCAGTATGGAAATGAAATGAATGGTTAGAAGCAATGGCTTGGGACAGGGGTACTTTGTTATTTTCTTTTAAAAAGTGGAAGTTCCACTGTGAAGGTACGTGCAAGTTTGAGTTGAGAAATGCACTCAACAAATTAATCGTAAAACATGAAAAGAAAACACAGACAGGAAGATAATATTAAAATGGATATGAGAGAAATATACTTTAAGGGTGTATACTTGAATCGATGACTGAAGGCAGCACGCAATGGCGGGACTTAAAGAAGTTTGTATTGAACAGTGGGATTTCTTAAAAGCAGGGAACTTCACAAGCGAATGAGTAACTATCAGCGTCCCAGGGAAGATCTCATATCAAGCTACAGGGCTAAAACAAAATATCTGTACCCACCAACTTGGCTCAAAGAGCAGCGCTCATGACGTGTAGTCGGCAAATGTACAGATCCGAACCTGCAGACTAACCTGGCAGACGATTTTCGTAGTTATCCTCAGTACCTGCAGTATAATGGGGGGATAATCTGAAATAAGACCACGGCCTCTTCCTTCAGAAATCTTTTCACAATTTATGATTCATCCATCATCCTTCCATGCGACACTGTGTACTCTGAGCTACTAGAGAGTGACGTTAAGTAAAGTGCAGACAAATAACGAACAGCCTAGCTACTGCGGCACAACAGTCATCTCGAATGCATTACTTAATTGGCGCGTGCGTGCGTGCGTGCATTCAGGAGACGTTAACTTGCACGGTCTCAGGTTTCACGAAGTGACTGTGTGGTCTGAAAATATCTTGTGTCCACACACCGGAAGGAATATGTCGCACGCCACTGTCATTCGCTAATGTTCATACTTACCGAAGAGCGGAATATTAAATATTGTAAAGTGGTTGCCCAGAACGTTGCTAGGTAACGGACCGGAGAACACCCCGCGACCGAATACACACAAGGCAGTATTGGAAGATGTGTCGCAGTGGAGAAATGTATTGCACGTTGAGAGGCAACAGCGCACCAATGAAGACGCTGTCTAGGAATCACGTGACCTGTTCTCTGTGTGGTCTTCCTTATGCAAAAATAGAGCTGGGTTTTCTGTGCGCGGTCCGTGCGGAGGCTATATAACTTCCAGTATACGAAGCAGGAATGTTAGAAACTCCATCAGTACCGTTTGATGCTGTAGGTATGAGCTAAAACATCTGTGAGCGTCCCTTAATTTTGGACTTCTCTGCTGCATAATAACCGCTACTCCACACATGGAACTTCAACAGTGTTACATCGGTACATTCGCAGGCCCGTATAGTAAACACAAAACATACATTATTATGCTATTAACATTATGCCTATATCTAGCCGAAACTTGAAATTGAGCCAAATATTATTTTAAAATTAAGTTCTTATGTAACGCACGACACACCGCGTGTGCGTAAGCAAAACCGATCGCTTAACTTCTGAAAGAACCGTACGAAGCACACAAACACACACTGCGAGGCTTTTCGTGCCTTAACCCTTTCAGACACAATTGTACATGTCAGGACACTGAGAAGAAATGAAGAAGAATAAACATGAAAAGGGAATGAGAATGGAAGGAAAGAGAATGAGAGGTGGAGAATGGAAAGAGTAGTAAGAGAAATATGATCAAGAAGAGGATAATAACGAATGAAAGGCTTTCTCACGTCTTGGGGCTGAAAGTTTACAGCAGGTGGTACATATAGTAACCACTGTGTTTTAAGGGGGCTAACTTGGCAACTCTTTTGGATTTGAGATTCTCACATCGGTAACTATGAGCAGTACGACCTTGTAGATTATAACAGTGTAGTTCGGTAGAACTCCATCGACGTTTCGGAGGATTATCTTCAGGGTCGAAAGGAGGGCTCGTGTTCGTTGCCTGCTTATTGTGTTATTCTTCGACCCTGAAGATCGGCGAACCACGCGAAGTTAGAAACAAGAAAATGGTATTTTTGACAAAGATGATTTTTAGTCACCTTCACAAGGTCTTCTGTAACTGTTTCCATAGCAGATCTGTCATGGCGTCTCCTATCACAGACTTCTCCATTGTCTTGTGCGTGTAATCTCACATCTGCATTGTTCTCCATTTCCTGGCCGTTAGTCGTGAGAAAGTTCAGTTAATACTAGCATGAAAGCAGTCTCAGGACTGGGCAGTCTTCCTCAAAGCCGAACTAGGAAACTGTGAGGATGTCTGCTCACACCGCTGCTGCCACTGCGGTCACGTGCCTCTTATATTCACTGACGCGCGTGTTCATCAGAAACTGTGACTCAGCGAGATGAGGTCCACAAAATAACTGTAAGATGCGTGATTATTCTTATAACGGCTACGGCGAAATAATGACCATATTTTTCTGCAGTCCAAAGGTTAGGCATTAGCTTGTCGTCTCGGCCTCATTTATGACTCTTTCCATCTGTTTCTTCATCTTCCCACATATCTCTTACCTTATACTTAGTGACTCACGGCTTGTTTAGGAAGGTGGGTTCAATCATTTTTAACAAAATATTTTCATTATTTTTAAAATAAAAGGAGGTTTATAAAATTACCTTGCTGTCTGTGTGTCCGTGTATCCCCCTAACGCCTGAAAGAACCTGTTTGTCTGCATGTGTGTAACTCCCTACCGCTGCTAGGCAATGGCTCAGTAAACACATTCCCGCGGCACTGAAGACTTGTAGGTCGTGTCTTTTTCTGTGCGATCCATGTCGTATCAAAGGAAGTAGGCGATTAGTTTTTCCCAGAACTTCTTAATGCTGTCTAGGGAAGCAGTCGCTGTTTATTGTGAGACTCATATGGAACAAACAAACAAACAAACAAACAAACACACTGCGTGGGCAGAATGTAGTGTTGTAGTGTGTTAAAGCAGCCCATAGTCAGTCGCTATACCGACGGAGCTATCCTGGGAATTGCTAAATACGAAGACGCTAGGTTCATTAAGTATCAGGCTAACTCTGTTTGCAGGAACGAATGTAGCCTTCCGGAAGCCTGCGAACCAGTCCACGACAGTGCGAGGTGGCCCCGCGACCAATGGCAACGACGGAGAGCTCACGACGGTGCACGACGGGAAGAGGTGCACGGAAACCATGAAGGAGGCGTCCCCATGGTGGATGGTGGACCTGCTACGGCCCTACCCCGTTGGCGTGGTTCGGGTTACCACGCGTGGATGTTGCGGTAATGTCTTCGTTCTTGGGCACTCCACGACAAGAACACACTCGGTCTCATGAACACTGGCTTATTGTCTTACATTAGAACAGATGCTCGAAAAGATTCACAGTCTGTTATCTAATACGTGTTATTAAAAGGTAAAAAGAATGTAAAAGTATCCCTGTAGCAGGCCGTGGAGGCCCATAGGGTTGTGAGACATCGAGGTTCCCAAATTTTCTAGACAATCGGCTCACAGATGGCGGTAAGTTTGTCAGCTTTATGTGCCGCTTGTCCTATACCCCCAGGAAGATTCCTGGTACTCATTTTTGTTAGAAGCTGAGTCGATCCCAGGGCCATAGTGCGGCTGGAAGGATTAGGTCAGCTGAAAAATCCAGTGACCCACTCTGATATTACTGGAGCGATTAAATAAAAATTATGGAATTATTAAGTATCTGCAAATTCCATTCACATAATACAACACTTTGGTCCGAAAACCTCTACAGAAGACGCCTTATAGGATACCTGGATCAGTTCATGTCATTTACTTGTTTATGATTCATTTAACCAGTCTGTCAGTATCTCGCTTTATATCGAGTTAAACCGTAGCGTGTGGAAGGAAGCCGTTGTGGCAGTACCATAGCAACATTTTTCTGGAGGGCTTAAGAAAACCCTATAGAAATCTCAGTCACAACAATCTATGCCTCTGCCGAGGCTTGAACAGAGCACCTTCCGAATACAAGTTAGAAGCTTTACCACCCAAGACAACTTGATTGGTGTATTGGTGAAGAATTTATCTTGTGCTTAATTAAGCACCACACCATGAAGGCGCATGTAGGGGCATAGGTACATTTTCATGCATTCTTAACCTCGACAAAAAATGAGTGTTCGTCTTCACGCTCCGGGCCTCCTTATTCTCACAGGAAGAACCCCCCGATACCCATGGAGTAGGAGAGTGGGTAAAGGTAAATTTGTACCTCTGCTGAACGAAATAAGCACTATGCCATGAAGACGTATGGGGGAGTGGATGTATAGATCCACATTTTCTTGACTCTCGGCACTAGTTGGAGGTAAGTGGTCGGCTTCACGCCCCGGCCGCTTTACCCCCGGTACTCATTGGATAGGAGGCTGGGTGGACTCCAGAGTCGGTGTGGACGATTTGGAGAGGAGAAAATTCTTGACACCAGCAGTACTCGAACTCCGACCCCTCGGTCGTGCAGCCCGTAGCCAGTCGCCATACCGGCTACGCTACCTCGGCTCCTCTGGGAGAGTGCGCGGGCTTTGGAAATGGGAAATATCTCTGCTTGCGCCAGAAATCGAACCCCGATTCCTCTGTTGTCCAGTCCATAGCCTAGTCGCTATATAGAGAGTGATGCCTAGGCAGCTGGATTTGATTCTGAGCCAGCGGAATCAAGTTCCACGCACTTACAATACAATTATTTCTAGTTACCTTTGTATCTAGTCTCGGGTTTCTTAAGAGGACCCTCACTGCTTGTCTGCAACATCTCTAGAGGGCACATCACAGCCTGAGCAGGCAAGTCCTGTGCATCCAGCGGAACCGCCGGTATGGTGACTTTTGTTAATGATTTTCTAATGAAGACATAAGGATCTAACTAATTATCTGTTGATGACTCACCCTCTGAGACGCAGTTTATGTTCACATGTCTCAGCCGCAAACTTATGCAGATGCTGACAATGAGCCCCCTGGGAACTGATCCTCTGTTTGTACACAGGCCACCAGCCACTGAAGGACATAGAGATCCGGGTGGGAAACAGCAGCACAGACCTTCAAAGGAACCCGTTGTGTGCCTGGTTCCCTGGAACGATAGGTAAGTCGTAATTACACGTATACAATTCGGCCATTCTTTTTAGGTACACACGTGACCTTGCACGTCTCCCCTCCGAATGCGCAGACGTGGAGATCGCAGTTCGTCACGCAAGGTTGTTACCCCAACAGCAGAACATGTTCCCAGATTGCATAATGCGTTGAATAAATGAGGCAATATAAGGTGGAGGGGGAGTAGCGGGTGATGTTACGTTTTACGGTGGGGGAGGGACAACAAAATTATTGGTTTTGATGATTCCCAAGGAATGGCTGTTCGTCTTCGTGTTAAAAATTAATTGAAGTTAGGGTAAAGCGTTCGGAAGTTCGTCTTTCCTTCTTAGGGTATGAGCAGAGAAGGGTCGAGCGGGAGCTGTATTGCATTCGATAAGAATGTTGAGACTGACGTTGGAAGGGATGCATTAGAGCGAAATTTTGATGTTACCATTGTGAGGGCTGCATGTGAAGCAAGCAGGGAAACATTGAATTAGGGTACCAACTGAACACTTTTAAGAATATAACTTTTCTGATTCTTCCCCGTTTCCTATCGCGGACCTAACAGAGAACATGAAGATATTTCGGCATATTCGCTGAAAGCAAGAAATGTGGGGTCACAAGAGCCGACCGCTACTAGGCAACGGCCTGTAAACAACAGCAGAGGAACGATGGTTTCTACGCGGTCCATGTCGATGTTTTCAGCAGGGCAATCTGTCAGCAAGTCAGTGGAGTGGGTGAATTAGTGAGTTGGAGGACTGCGGCGGTACAGTCGTTGTGACCTGTTGGTGTTAGAAACTGGTAGTTGAGCCTGGGAATATTTCGGGTACCCAGAGTAAGGGGAAAATCCGCTGTTGGAAGCCGTTACCAGACAACGACTGGTGAAGACACAACAGGCTGAGAAGGTTTATGTACGATATGTGCTCTAGAGAACTGTAAACTGTATGAATTAGTTAAATGGTTGTAATTGCGTCTAGTCTAGGATCTGTAAGAGTAAACCCCGTCTATAATCACCACAAAAAGCGTGACAGTATTATGAAATCTACTTTGTACTTTTGTCAGTATGTACGGCAACCACGACTGTGAAAGCCATGTGCAAGTACTGCGGCAGAATTTTGTGACGAGGTTCGACTCGTCACTCACAGTCGTTCTATTTAATTACATGAGTAAACTTTAGCGTCTTAAGGTCAGTGTTGTTCTCTTCCTTAAATCTGTAGCTACTGTGTTGTGATAGTAACAAGGAAAGCGACTGCATTCCGGGAGAAGAAAGGGCACTCATTCTTGTGTGCACGGGCATTCAGGTCATGAAATTTGAACAGGTGAATTTAGTTCAGGATTCTGGCTGTTACTGGATGTAACAATTATAGAGAAAATTGCGTAATTACGAGCGTCATAATTTTCACACTCCACTCGTTATTATCAGGATAATATAATCAAGGAGAATGAACTGCACGAGGTTAGTACGCATAAACGCTCAGATAACAAATTAAAGCATGTTTTTTATTACGTGAATCTATGAATTTATAGCTAAATCATTATTATTGTCTTACATTATTGCCCTTAGACATTCGCGACCTGTGTTACTTCGGCATTTGGGATTTAACCTCGTAGTGTGTTGGAGTGATTCACCCTGAAGATGGTAACTGAAATATACGCCGAAACCTCTGAGCAGTTTCAACATGGAACGTGGATAAATCACGAAAACCTAAATTATATATTGTACACATAACCTTCAACACGTTTTTGTTTCAGAGGAAGGCGTCACCAAGACGTTCACGTGTGCGCGAACGCTAATAGGTCAGCACGTGTTCCTGCAGCTGGTAGGGGTGGAAGGCTCCCTATCCGTCTGCGAAGTGGAGGTGTTCACTACTGACGGTAGGAATGCCAGCTACCCTTATGCAAACGGGCAACATTCGCTCTGTATTCCTGGGCCATTTCACGACGATATACGGCGTCGAATGATAGGATGTCACATGAATGATGAACTGGAAAAGACACGAAAGGAAGCGACCACGGTCTACTCAGGGCACTGTTCCGGCTCCAATTTATCTCGAGGGACGGAGAAATATTACAAAAAAAAAAAGCACGATTAAGACGGCCGGGATAGCGTTCAAAACGGGGATCGAGCACCTCCCTAATACAAGTACGGTTCCTGACCGCTGTGTCAACCCGCTCGCTTACAAGGCAACTGTAGCATATATACTGGCCGATGACATTTCCTTTCAGATTCTTTCCTATTCATCATTCACACACCTCGACGCTATAGAGTCTGCGATACTGAGAGCGTCGAGAAATAAACAACCAAGAAAGGGCACAGGAAGGAAGTTCCTGCGAATTTCTATTTTATTTATTTATTTATTAAGCAATCAGAATCTACAATTCTGTAAGCTAGTTTGCTGGCGTAAGAGCTGTGATGCTCTTTAATGACGTGGTGAGTCCCTTCCCCAGTGGGAGGTTCCTCATTAGTTTTCTTTTAGGTCAGCTGTCCAGTGTCTTCGGAGTCTTCGATTGTGCTGCGGTTCAACGAGTGGCTGTAGGATGTCGTTTGGGTGATTTGCTAGTTTGTTGTGGTGTGAGGTACTTTTTTCTATGATGACGTCCTTGATGTATGGTATATTCAGGTCTGTATGTAACGTTTGGTTGTTTAAATACCAAGATGCATTTGTTATAATTCGAAGTATTTTTGATTGGCTTCTCTGGATTATTGATATATTTGATTTGCTGGCACAACCCCAGAGCGCAATTCCTTAAGCCCAGATTTTCCTGCGAAATGTCGGTAAAATTGTACCAGACTACACGACGCCACATATCAGTCGCACATGAAGGTACGTTTCGTGTTTCAGAGTTCTCGAACGACCGCTGCGTGCCCTCTGGCGCTGCCGACGACGTGCAATTAGCAGCGTTTGACCGAACTTGTTATGAGTTCAGCGTGGGCCGCGGAGGTTCTTTCGAGGAGGCGAGAAGCCACTGCAAGAAGCACGGGGGCGATCTAGTGCACGGTCTGCATGGGGCCACATCCAGCTTCCTATTGGCGGAGCTGGAGCGACGCAAACCTAACCTCAAAACGCAGCTGGTGTGGATCGGAGCGCAGCGAGAGCCGGGGTTCACATCCCGGACGTGGAGATGGGTTGACGGTGAGCAGCGGTGTAGTCCTAGAAACGTAGCGTCACAGCGCTCGAGCTGAAACAAGTGCGCATGAGCTGTACCAATCTCCTGACGATAGCTTCGCACTTGGAAATGCAGAACTGAGCGACGGGGAGCACATGGAAAGCGCAGACTTGACGCTTCAACCTGAGGGTGTTCAGAAGAAATGCCAGGGCAGGGTCCCATGAGTCAAGATAGCTGAGTCGGTATAGCTGCCAGGGTTCGATTCCAGTCTGGGGCAAGTTATTTTTCTCTGCTCCACAGAGTCCAGTGGGCTGTGGGACCAACCCAGTCTCCTATCCAATGGGTACTGGAGGCCCTTTCCTCGGGGGTAAAGCGTCCAGTCATGAACCTGACCACCGGCATCTGGTGACGACGTTAGAATGTTTGTCCCCCCCTCCCTCTCCCTTCATGCTTCGAACAGTTGGAACTCTGGAAGGAACAGGAGGAAATGTGTATACTCATGCTCGCTGCTTCTCGTGATGCAGGGGAGGTGGTGGGGAGGCCGGCGTGGGGCAAGGACCAGCCGAACAATTACAACGGAGAACAGAACTGCGTCGTGCTGGATGGAGGGCGCAACTGGCTCTGGAATGACGTTGGCTGCAACCTGGATTACCTCCACTGGATATGCCAGCACAGTAAGTGTTCTCCCTGTTCGGTAACGCGACTGGTTAGCAGGTCCGGCGCAGCGGGTAGCCGCGTGAGCAGGAGTTTACTGGACTTGCACCGGGCAGGGAACCTAAAGCGTCCCTGCTCTCTATTCGGGAAGTCACGGTTAGAAAATTCTGTCTGGAAGCCGGCTATCCCGAGGTTTGTCTCAGTGCCTACAAATTCCGTAATAGTACTTTAAACAGGCCACAACAGCTTCCTTCCACATTCTTTACAATTCATTTTTCACCAGTCATTCTAATATTATAATGGGACACGTCATAATGTAGTTAGTTGACGCAATATGCTACAAGCCGGAAGGTCGCGGGTTCGATTGCCGATGGGGTCATTGGATTTCTCAAGTGACCTAATCATTCCAGGCGCACTATGGCCCTTGGTCGACCCAGCCACTAACAGAAATGAGTACCAGGAATCTTCCTGGAGATAAAGGGCGGCCGGCGCGTAAGGCTGTGAAACTCACCGCCATCTGTGAGCCGACTGTCTAGAAGATGTGGGAGCCTCGACGTTTCACAACCCTACGTGCTTCCATGGCCTGTTACACAGATAGCGTTAACCTTTTTCTTTCTTACATAATGCGAGGTATCTAAATTGTTCACTAGATTAATTTCTTTTTAAAAGGAATGAAACAACGCGGGACAAGGAGAGACAAAGAATGGTGAATCAGAAATGAAAGCAGTGGTGTAGAATGGATGGAAATGAGAATTTGGAAACTAATAGAGAGTCAAGAAGGGAAATAGACAAAGGAAGATGTGTTCTATGGTTGGAAACGAAGGACCCTATAGTCTAAAAGCATAATCTTGAGTTGTTCAGAGACAAAATTGAAGCGCAGAATGTTTATGTACATGTGACAGAACGAAAACACGAACAGAACACACGTGGTTAAGGAATGCAGAGGAATAACTGAAACTAAGTTACAGGTAAACGATGAAGAAAAACAGTAACTGTAGATAGTAAAGAAAAGGGGAAAAATTGTAAACGCCTTGAAGGCTGCACATGCCACGAACCTGGTGTTAAGCTGTGTACAGTATTGCACAACTGTGTAGATTAAGTCAGGAATGAATTCTATTCTGTTCAAACTACCGCTAAATAAGTCAACAACAAGTCCAGTATATGCAAAACTGAGTGTTCAGGTTGTGCATTCACACCGCACGGTACTTCACATCTGCGCGGTTGTACCCAACCTGCAATTTGCGAGGAACGCATACCCCGCGTTGAACAAGGGCTGATTGTAGGTCAGTAAAGGTTGCATTCTTTGATAATGATATCCGTCTTCTGGGTAACAGCAACATTATTTTGTGTTCATTTCGTATAAAGAGAAAGAATGAAGGACAGACAAGATAATAAGATAGACGTAGAAGCTACAGAAGTGTCTGTCTGCACACACAGACACTGGAAGTCTGCTATCACGTGATACCATCATCCAGTTGGGTGTGTCCCTTCATCTGTCGCATTTGTTACATTTCTTTTGTTTTTACAAGATCTGAACAAACCATTCCAACTTTCACCGAATCAGTCACGATACAGTCTTTCATAAGTGAATGCTCGTAACGCCTCTCATTTGGGCTAATGCTGTTAGCATGAATTCTGTGTAGTTTCGTGCCTCTAAGCGTTTGTTTCCTTTCGGGCGAGTTCCGCACCCACATCCTACAACCCTTTCAAGGTTATCAGAGTGGCTATCCTACGCGATGCAAGAGTAGTCATTCACCTTTCAAAAGCTGTCTCTCCTTCGTATTTATAATAGTGAACTTCACCTGAACCACACCCTGAACTACAGAAAAAATCTTCATGAAAATTATAAAACCGAGAGTGGTAACGCTTACACTTGTGTTCAGCACACACTCGGTTCAGATACGAGTATAGGCAGGGAGGCCGGTTTTCCTCAGTCCCTCCTAGCGAATACCTGGATAATACCTGAATTTGGCACCGATCGTTTCCCTTCAAATCCTTTCCGATTCATCATTCACAAGTCATCCTATCATTCGATATTGGAGTAAAACCAAGATACATTGACATAGCCGTAAAACCTAACACAGAAAAGGAGACTGAAAGTGTGACAGCATCACAGCAAGCACCACAAGTTCCGATCGCATGCCCATGTTAACATGTGTCTGCCCCTAAATGCGCGTGTCTCGAAACACTGAGACGTCTGTTCTGCCGTTTTCCTGCAGACTGGATTCAAGGATTTCCTTTCTCGCTGTTACATTTCATGACACAACAGTGAAATATAAAACAAATCGATGAAGAAACATTGCGCAAACTTTTTACGTATGATTAACTATGGCTACGTTAACTTGGAAATGAAATCCTTTATTGTTCGGTAGACTACAAGGCAGGTCATGTGTGCGTTGCGTTAAGTATTGTTGTATAATCGTTTCATATATGCTGATGAATCACTTCTACTATCCAGAAATGCATATTTCATAAAAAAAATCTGTAACTATCCGTTGCCCCTAAGGTCGCGCCATAGCTCAAGCCGTTAGCCGCTGGCTTCCTACCGCGGCGGCCCGGGTTCAATCCCGGGGTCTGGGCAAGTGGGATTTGTGGTGGACAAAGTGGCGCTGGGGCGGGTTTTCTCCGAGTTCTTCGGTTTCCCCTGCCAATATTCATTCCACCAAATTCTCCATCATCATTATCACCCGGGGCAGGCTACAATAGGCCAATCAGTGGCCGCCATGCCGAGTGGGCCCAGTTGGATTCCACTCCCCACTAAGCGAATCCAGTGGCCTTGTAGACAATTAAAATTTAATCAATACTGCTCAAATCATTTAAAAAATCAACTCTTCGTGCCTGGGCCCACAACACTCGAATCGCTATTTTTCTTAATATACCAGTTGAGTAGTTTTATCTGGGGAGATGGTATCCATAAATCACTGATATTTAATTAAAATCGTTTTCGAAAAAGAAATCGCCATAATTTGTCTGCGCATCATTTTTTCCTTCTTTGCTGGAGTCCACCAACACAAATTTTCGGGGAACCAAGTTTAGAATTAGGGAACCGGCTGCAATTTAAATGTGACTTAACCAACAAAACCTAAGGCTTGCAAGTGTGTGGAGACACGGAGAATCAGACCTGTGTAACCTGTATCCGTTCGCAGCGCCCTCCTCGTGCGGCAGCCCCGACAAGCTAGTCAACACCACCATCTCTGGTTCCAACTTCAGCGTGGGGGCCACAATTGGCTACCACTGCCCCGAGGGGCACATGCTCGTCGGAGAGGCAAACCGCAGCTGTACCGAGAATGGTTCCTGGTCAGGCCGCGCGCCCACTTGCAAATGTAAGGACATCTTTCAGCTTCTCACAGAAACAATATCGTCTCCTGGGATTTGATACCGTGTATTCCCGTAAAAGTTTACCGACGTTTCGGAGGAACGTATTGCCTCCATTTCGGTGATGATTAATAAACCAAGCACAGATTTGTTTCTTCATGGTTGCCTGATTGGCTTAATCATCGACTATGAAATATATACCTGCGAGGAGTCAGTAAACTTCTACCGGACCGTACGGTGTCATGTCCTAGAATATATAATTCTTTATATAAGTTTTGAGGTTTTTCAAGGAGGTGACTGCGCAGATTGGGCTGTTCTGGTTTTTGACACTGTGTATTCCTGCAGGATACCGACGTTTTCGAGGAATATATTGTCATATTCGGGATTGGAGGCAGGATGTCTCCGAAACGTCAGTATCCGCCTACAGGACTATGCGGCTTCACAACCAAGAATACAGGACTCTAGATGTTTACGATAGTTCACAACTGTAAGCTTACATATAAGTGTTACATGACAGAAGAGAGTGCCAGTGATTTCACAGGAAAATTAGTTCTTGCTGCGATGGAAGTGCAGCAGTAGGGTCCATCGGATTCAATCTCCACACTGGACTTGCCTACCATTTTGCACTACTACAAGAAAATGGCAATTGGTGGGATATGAGGCGAACTGTGGGAGCGTGAGTGCCGCGGGAGGGATGACCATAAATCTACCCCCAGGTCGCCCCAGGAATTTTTGAAAAAGAAAATAAACTTGAAAAATTGGAAAACGTACCAAATATTGAATTATAGTTATGTCTTAAGAAACGTATTCATCCATCCTCAATGGGCCTAGTCTAGAGCGATCAGTAAAAATAATCTTAAACTCCTGGAACCTACAGTTTTAAACAATTCTCCCCGGTTCCCCCCCCCTCCATCCCTAGACAACGGGTTGCCCCTCTTGGGAAAAAAATCATTGTGGTGCCTACATACATCAGCAATGACAGGATATATAAACATTTTAGTCCTGAACAATGAAAATTCAAAGAACTGCATTCAAATGGAAATAAAAGAAATTCAAGAAAATCGAGAAAAATGCAATACTAGTTTTATCTTATGCTCGTAAATCTTCGGAAGCTCAGAGTAAAGGGGCCAGGTCTGCACCCCAAACAACATAAATCCAGTCGACACTTTGAAAACATCCTGATTTGCACTTGGATATGCAGAATGTTCCAGAATCAGTGACCCAAAAATGTAAATTCTTTCAATACAAAATTAGAAAATGGAGCTCTTAACAATCACAACATACAGCAACATACATATATACAAGTAGAAATGAATTTGCAGATGTGGACTGTGGGCCCTTACCTGGTCTCGAACATGGATACGTGAACCTGGAGGACAGGAGAACAACGCATGGTGCTTCAGCTGAGTACACCTGCCATGAAAACTACACTCTGATTGGACGGGAGAGACGGACATGTCAGGATGACGGACAGTGGAGCGACGACCAGCCAGAGTGTCTCTGTAAGCAAAATTGGCACTCATACCACACCTGCTATAGTGTTAAAACATTCAGCAATCTGCCCACACAAACTGTATTTATATGTTTCCTGTGTTTATCACAACAAACAAACAATCGGTTGTGCTTTGTAGCGGTGACATAATGTGTGTCCTGTGAGGTATGGACTGAGTCTCTATATTATTTGTGTATTCTGTATGATTCTCACAGTAAACAGCGACTGTTTCCATAAACAACATTAACTGGTTGGGCTTTGTTACGGAGACGTAATGTGTTTCCTGTGAGGTACAGACTGAATCTCTATATTATTTGTGTGTTCTGTATGATTCTCACAGTAAACAGTGACTGTTTCCATAAACAGCATTAACTGGTTGGGCTTTATAGCAGAGATATAACGTGCTTCCTGCGAGTTACGGAATAAATTTGTATTTACCATTTCGACTTATTTGTAATTTCAGTGTTATGGTGTCCAAAAAATGACACCCACGTATTTTTGTTGTTTATTTTATTATGCTGTTTGTATCTCAGACTATATAGCTTATAAGAAGGAAGACTGATGAATTTCAGAGGATGCTGAAGGCAATGGCTGTGGATTAATCAAGGTACTGTCCTGTCATTTACCTGGAGTGATTAAGAAAAATCAGTGAAGGGCCCACTTTCTAGACTGTAAATGGTATAAACAGAAGAATAACAATTGTTTCTATAGCTAACGGTTACACCTCCACCTTTCTTTTTCAGTTTAAATTTTCAAAAATATTGAGAGGGGGCAGATGCCTGGCTTGGCTACACTTTGCGGGCGCCCTTGCTCAAGTGATAATGTTTGTGATGTGTTCAGAGGAACTGGGATGAATCTCTACTGAGACACCGCATATCATGACATTTTTCTCTGTTTTCCCCAGTCTCTCTGGGAAAATGCCAAAGATAGTATTTTTAATGAGGTTACAACCGCTTCCATCCATATTCTCTCCAATTCATCATGCACTAATCATGTTATCATTGTATGGTACATAGAGTGAGGTGCTGGCAGCATTGTCAAATAAACTGTAAACACACATGTTTATAATGAATATTATAATGCGGGCTAAAGTATTTCCTACCAAAAGTCCCTCATAATAATTTTCAGTTTGTTTATTGTCCACCATGCAACAATATCAAGATTTAAAATTAAATTCTTTTTAAAATTTGTTACTGCATTACATGTTTCAGCTTGCTGGACTGATAAACAAAACTGAAAATTCTAATACCAACTGCAACAGGATGCTAGGATACAGCCATAATATAAATGGCATCCTGATCCTAACATATGCTATCATATACATTGTCCGAATGTAGGACATGAAACGATGGGAAGGTTACTGTTTTATGCGCAACACAAAATGACATCAGCAGAGTGTTCCTCAGAATTGAGTAGTCACACTTATGAATCTGTGTTTCAGTTGACTGGTGTCCGGACCCACCAACAGTGTATGGGGGTTCAGTGAAATCTTCTGGACGCCGTGCGGGTTCCACTGCCACTTACACCTGTCAAAATGGCTACATAATGTCGGGACAGCCGGTGAGAGATCGTCATCGTATTCAACTGTCAGTACATGTGGGGATGTGTAAAAATCAGTGCTTACATCTTCCCATGCTTCTGCTTGATTTGTCACTTCTCTCTGCAGAAACCATTAAAAAAGACCCCTTTCCCACAATTCTCTCTGCAGTGGCCCTTAAAAACGGCCATTTCCTCACTTCTCTCTCTGGAGTGACTCTTAAAAGGATAATTTTCTTACAATTCTCTGCTTGTCATTCCTATAGGCCTCTCCCTCTCTCCAAAGGCCTGGAGTGACCACCCTTCATGTCACCCTGCCTTAATAACTTGACCACATTCTCATAAATTCACTTTGACTCTGAGGATGAAGGCTGTATGTTCCTTGAAACATTGGCACTCTTGTACAAGACTACAGGTTACTGCAACCAAAGGACCACAATTTGAACACTAACTGCAATGTAAACATAAAATGTGACTTCACACATCTGCATTTTACCAAAATTGTCTCCAGCAATGTTAACAAAACAGACTGTAATATCTAATATCAATGTAACTTCCCTGTTGGTGGTATTCCATCAATTTCCTGTTACCTACTGCCGAGAGAATAATGTAATGGAATTACTGTGTACTACGCAAACCCTGTGTGATAGCTAAGGCTGGTATGGCAGCAAAGAAGCGATTAAAAGAATTGCAAATGAGGATTTGAACCACATCAAAATCCTCATTCCTAATTCTTTTAATGACAAGAGTAAACTTTAATGTCTTCTGGTATTTATGCATAAATATTATCATGAAAAATAGTTCCCTCTAGATGAGATTCAGACAACATTATATTTTGTAGGTCAGAGACGTCGTACGCTTACATGAAATTTATTGTATATTTCTAAATATTTTCTTGCAGATAGCTTTAAGAATTCTATTTTAAGGTCAAACTTGTAGTATATTGTCACGTGTTGGGTATGTCATGTGACAAATAACTTTACGTGTGTCTCGGATTTAGCGAATCTTTATTGGACTCTCACACTTACACACAGTACAATTATTATCACGTGCAGTGTCACTTGACTTCTGGCCCAATACTCCAATGGATGCTGGAACTTCACTGTTACTCTGGCGGCTGCTATATTTCAACTAACCCTTCTCAAGTCAAAGTCAAAGTCACATTGCGACTGATGGTCAGTCAGTCAGTAAGTCTTGGTGTTGAGCCCCATCTGGGGCTCATTACCAGATATTTATTACTGCTTGATCATTACGGTCGTGGTTTTGGGGTGCCCTCTCTGACGAGAGGACGGGTCTGTCTTTTATATATGCTGCTGGTCCTTGCCAGCACAGTCTTCCTCGGGTCTGAGTCCCTTGGAACTCTCGACCATATTCTACTGTCTCAGTTTTGAGACTTCCGTTTTCGTCACCTCCTACAACTTGCAGGGTCACGGTGGAGGTATTTGATCCCACCTTCCTAATTCCTCTCTTGTCAAAGTAGGGCTTTTATAACCTCTGCGGTTGTTATGCAATGAATCTTCTGTTGTCATGCAATGCTTCGAACAATTCGTTACCTTTCATCTCCTACGAAACACGTTTGTTTTCCCCAGGCAACGGCCTACTGTTATTGCATTGTTGCTGTGGGAACTCTCCATGTATTCATCATAACCGTAGAGACTCATTGTAGGCTGTTAACTTCCTATTGTGGCCATTGCTACGTGATGACCGTAAGATAGCACGTTACAATATTTATCTTGAGAAGCCATATTTCTTTTACCCATTTCCATCATTATGTTCTGTTGCACCTTTTTTTTCCCCTTGGCACTACAGCCCCAGTGGGCCTAGGCCTACCTCCATGAACTTCTCCGTTCACTTCAGTTTTTCTAGATCTTACACATTTGGTAGGACTCCTTGGGTGGGTGATCAACTCGTCGCAAGGCCTCTACCTGTACACAAACACAGAAAAATGCACACACAAAGTCTGTTGCACCTTCTCTGCCAAAAACATGAGAGCACCCAGGCTGATGGTTATAGTGTTTCATAAAAATGAGCGATAGCAGATTATTCATTCTAGTTCCAATAACAAAGACAAGGAATTGTTTATTTGTTTTGCGTTTTTTCTAAGGAAAAAAATATAAGAGGACCAGATATTAATTAACAGTGACTGGAATATCTGAGTGTTATACCATCCTTAACATTCCTTCCTTCCCCTCGGCTCTACAGCTGAGGGTGAGCTTAGGCCTCCTGAACAATCTGCCTCCATTCTTTTCTGTTCTTCACCTTTCCTCCCCATCCTTTCACTTTCATTTTATGGAGATCATCATGTACATCCACCAACCATCTCAGGTCCTTTCCTGATGTCGATTTCTGTCCAGTCCATCCATCTGAGGCTGATTGTCTGGTTTCTGAACAATTTAGTTTTTATGGTGTGAGGTTGTTACCCTCACACACAACCCCCAATCTCGAGGATCAAGTTATCCCTGTTCCTCTGTCTTGTACCCCTTGACCTGAACCGCATGGGCAATCCTACCAGTAGCTATGCTACCACCAGCATAGCTCTCAGGGTCTTAGGAGTACTCAAACCTGACCACCATAATAAGGTTGAGACACCATCAGTGGGGCCATCTTTAACAAGGTTTATTTATTATAAACTTTGATATATATAAATAAAGCATCCATACCATGGACAAAGAATGGATGCTTCTTCTAGTTAGGTATAAATTATGATACTGTCTTCGATCAACTGTTGGATACACAAAAAGAACATATATCAGTGAAGGGTGAGATATAATTTATCATGTCTTTAACATTTTCTCGCTCAAGAATGTTCTCTCCCCTGATTCTGTCAGGTACACAGGAAAACTTGTCATTCAAACAAAGAATCTACATTTGTAGGTTCTCTCATGTGGTCTTGGAGGAGAGTGGTCAGGCAAGGCCCCAGCATGTAAATACATTGACTGTGGTGTGCCTCCCAACATTGACAGTGGTCGATATGAACTCCTGAACACAACAACAACATATGGAAGCTTTGTCGAGTACTCTTGTCAGGAGGATTACTGGTTGGATGGCACAGAGAAGCAAATGTGTACCCGGGAGGGCAAGTGGTCAGCTGACACTCCAGCATGTGTCTGTAAGTTTTTATAAGTTTGTCTCTCTCACTTGACATTACATTGTATTACTTTCACAGACCTGAATCCCTAGTCACTCACCCCCCAGAGAATATTTCTGGTAACTTCATCAATTTATACTCATCTTCAGTCCCTACAATATCTGCAAGTACTTTGCAACAGAATTTGAGGCTCAGGCTTGCTTTGCAGTTTACTTAACTATTCTGCCAGTAACTCAAAATATACAGCAACAAATGATTGAATGACAGTGAATAATGAAATGGAAGTGATGTGGAAGGAAGTGCTCCTAGTCTAATTTAAGGCACCAGCTCAGCAGGTGCCTCAAGATACTCCAGAACCATATAGGATCTGGTTCAGGGTAATCAGTGTTCTGGCCGAGATGCAAGCTGAGGACATCCAGAATAAAATTCAGGAGGATTACCACTTTCTTAGTGAGAGATTGTTCAGTAACGTCATTCTGATTTCAACATTTTTTTTTTTACGTTCATATGACATTCATTCTGGCTTATGACTTTGATACATGAAACAAAGTCTTGAGGTTTCAATTTTTTTCTCAAACCCCATAACTTTAAGTTTTCTTTCAAATAATGAAACTCAAGCAACTGGTTTTTAAAAGAAAGTTTTTTTTTCTGCCTGCAGTGATCACCTGTATAGAACCAGAGCTGCCAGCTGGGAGTTACGTTGTAGGGTATGATTTCAACATACACTCAACAATTGAATATCACTGTGAGGCGGGTTATATTTTACGGGGTGTGGCAGTACACGAATGCACTATGCAGGGCGAGTGGTCTGGGGAAACGCCCACCTGTGAATGTAAGTTTCCAGATTGAGGTAACAGGTTCCTATGAAATGTGGAACTACAAAGTACCAGAATACAGAAACCTACAATTTACCAGCTCCACCACAAGAATAAAAGTAACAACAATAAGAATAACAACAAAAACAACAAGAAATGTTGTGTCTATATTTACTACTCCATTCCATATTCTGTGTCTAAAACATCTTTGAGGTTTGAAGGTATGCTTAGGAGCTGTCAACACAACAACAGCTGATCCTGACAGACCAAAACATGCAGTGTGATAATAATAAAATAACCCAAATATTAAACATTTTAATATATGTTTACAATCAACTGTTGTGTTTACAGCACCTAAGTATAATTTTGATACACGATGCACAACAGGATGCAGAAAATAAAGATCTTTGAATTTGCATCAACATCAGAAAGCAATGTTTTTCACAACATCAACACTGAAAGTTACTGGGCTTTGAATTCAATATACACTGGAAACCAAAACCGCTATACTGGAAATCCTGCTGAACACACAGGACGTTTGTTCCATAAATAATTAACATATAGCACACACTCAAAGATGTTGTAGACAAAGCAGGTAATCATTTTTGGAACATTCACAGTGAAACATGGAAAAGAATGTGCATATTAGCGCTATCATATTCGTCTGTGCATAGGTAACAGCTCAGAAATTACTGAATAAATTATCATGAAACCTGATATTCCAAGTCTTTGATGAAATTTGTAGACATATTCCAGTTTTAATTAAAATCAGAAACAAGTGAGTAGTTTACAACTAATTTCTTCAGATTTATGTTTCGAGGAAACTGTGTTGATTTGTACCTTATTCCTTTACTCTAATAGGAAGGTAAAATGATATTTTCATTGGTATCATAAAATACCAGAACGTTTTAAAACCACAAATTTGAATTAATAAATAAGATATGGTAAAACGGGAATGGGAAGATATACCTGAAATATTTTCAATTACATAATATATTATTCTTCTTCCTCTTTTGACATTTGACACTTCTCTTTTCATGTGGATCATCGTATATCCGGGCCCATCCAGCTACCTCTGTCTACCTAGAGCTCCTCCTCAGTCTCCTCAAATATATTATCTTCCTTCTGCATGACATTTTCCTGATCTGTTGTTCCCATTCTGAACTTCCTCTTGGGCATGTTCCTTTTGTTTCCACATTCTGAACCATTTTCTACTATTACTAATTTATATATATATATATATCTTTAAATTCTCTCCAATATTTTCACTTCTTGTATCCTCCCCCTTGATGTTTACTTCTATGCTTCTAAAAATCTCAGCTCAGTTACTGTTATTCTGCTAATATCTGCCTTTTTCCACATTCAAGATACTGTTCCACACACTACCGGTACCTAATCAACCAAAATAAACTCCGAGGTTTTACACCACAAGCAAACTATACCAACCGAGCGACCACTCCTTGTCAGGGAAGTTAGTGCCAACCAGTCCCTAATCAATCACCCTATTTCAGATGTGGACTGTGGCAAGGTAACTCAGCTGCTATATGGCTCTGTTACTTACACGAATGGTACCACATATCTCGGCAGTACAGTGACATACAGCTGTGTCAAAAACTACCGGCTTGTGGGTGTTGCTTCCAGGCGGTGTCTAGAGAATGGACAGTGGAGTGATGAGTCTCCTAGATGTGAGGGTAAGTTCACTGTTTTATATCCATCTGTATGCCTTTCCCAGCACTTATTAATCTTTTGGATTTGGGAACCAGAAATTGGAATTCCCAAAACCATAAGCTCCTCTCTATTTTTCATAATATTTTATTTAGATATTTTAAAATAATGAGTGACTATAATAATAAACAGTTAACCATTTTTCTGTGATAGGGTTATACTAAAAGTTTCAGAGGTTTCCTGTAAAAAAAAATGATATAATAATAAAGACATGATTTATTATTATTATGAACCAGTATGTTGTGATAATATTATATAATTCAGTAACAAGTAAAAATCATCTCTGTCTTATATAGACATTTGATAATAGTAGATATTAAAACACAAAATAAATGCCAAGTAAAATCATTCAAAAATTGAAAGAAAAGTTATCATTCTTAAAATAAAAATTTAAAACACACAAAGCATTGATTGCCTGAGCCAATTGCTCTGATTTTTTTTCATTTTTCCAATTTCTCGACTGATTTATCTTGGAATTTTTGAAAACATACAAATACACCTACAAATGTCAGAAAGGAATTCCCATATGGAAGCAGTAGCTTTCACGGATACTCTGATAAGATTTGGAGGGAAATAGAAATTCCGATACTAAACACAGAGAACATCTAAATCCATGGACAGTGCTGCTTTCCCTTGCTACGGTACAGATGTAGTAAATAACTGCAGACAGTCAATGAGTTAAACTTTCTCTTGCAGAGATCAGATGCCCGGAGCCTGTCCTGGCAGAGCACAGTATACTGTCTGTGACGGGCAATGACCGGGTGTATGGGCGTACACTGATCCGAACAGCAGATTCTGGAATGTCACTTACTACATACAAGATAGGGTCACTGGTGAAGTATCGCTGTGAGAGAGGTTACAAGGTGGTTGGGGAGCCACTCAGTACCTGCGAGGACTCAGGAAAATGGAGTGGTGACGTGCCCCAGTGTGTCTGTAAGTAGTTTTGCTCTACTGCATGCACTTCTATGTCAACAGTTGCTGCCAAGCGAAGTGAAGATGCAACATGTGAAACCGAGGCACAGATGCCTTAAATACATACATTGACATGTTTATATAATACTAAATTAAAGAAAACATCTTAAATGGAATTATTGACTTGGGGTGATAGAAAACTTTAAACTGTGGATCATTCCTGGGTGTCAGATGAGGGTGGCAACTATTACCGTCCCTCTCTACCTCCTTTTCTCTTCTTCTTCTTCTTCTCCCACACACGTTGGTCGCACTTGTAGGTACTTCTTTCTTGTACTAAATTTTATCTCAGGGTTATTTAATTTATAAGGAGGTGAGGTTTGTTGATTCGGTAGAGCTGAGAGTCTCTTTATCTCAGAGCCTTGAACGGGCCACAACTCTGAGAAGGAATTAATGAACACAAACTGCAGAAGCACATATCAAGTTTAGACGAATTATATTATTGAACACTTGTTTAGCCACTTTTTAATACAGCTTCAAATCAGTAACTTTCATGTCTAACGAGTCCCGGTGTGTGACTTCTTGAGTCTGATTGATTCGGAGCCCGGTGTGTGACTTTTTGCGTCTAATTCTAACGAGTGCAGCTTTCTGACTGACTTCGACAACTGATTTCTACTCGGACCTTCAAGTCCTTGTTTCCTCAGCGTCTCTGCCCTGTCACACCCTTAAATTTTAGTGATTGGCTATATTTGAAAAATAGGAATATCTTAATTAGATATTCCTCCACTCTGTACAAGGGTTTAAGGATTTTTGACTCCAACGTATTTCTGTCAGAATTTAACAAATGTTTAAGCGTCGCTTGGGCCCTAAAAACTTCACTCTTTTTAAGTTATGGCATGCACAAACTGCCAAGTATTGAATTCACAAAGGATTTCTTTAGCTATTCTTCAACGTAACTTTCCTCTAATAAACCTTTGACGGGTGTCTTCCTGTTTCTTGTTGTAAGCGTGGGAAGACGCTAACTCTTACATACAAGAATTGACCTATGTCTCACTACCCTTATTCACTGCATTCCATTTTGAACAATTAAGCTTTCAAATTAATAAAGTTGGTTACCTTAAATAAGTTGCGTAGCAGTGGGACCGTTACACAACTGGACCTGAGTGGCTGAAGACAGGATTTAGCACTATGTTTCTGATGGTTTCCTGCTTCATTAACTTTTTCACCCTGAAGGTGGAGGCAGAATATCAGGCTCTCAGTCACTACAGATGTTACAGTTCACAAAACTCTACTTTGCTCACTATGTACAAAATTTGCATACTTTCCTCCTTCCCCATATTACAGTAAAATATCGGTGAACTATTCTAGACAGCCTCCTCTCCAGTGGCTACTGGAGTTCTGTCCCAAGATAAGAGTATTAAACTGATCACTTATCTGCATCTAATGCATATGTTTAGAATATGTGGAACTATCCATCTGCTGCCCCAACTTGAGCTTGACAAGAGCACATTACATGTGACTGCTTGTGAACCAATTCACTTCCAAGCTTTGTGCTTTCATTCTAACCAGATGTGGACTGCAGAGAACCCGAGAGGCTAGCACATGGCAAGTATGCACTTGCATCCAATGCTACATATTATGGAGCAGCTGTCCTCTATGAATGTGATGCCAACTATGAACTAGATGGACATGGAAGACGACTCTGCCTTGAAAATGGTACCTGGTCATCCGAAACACCACAGTGCAAGGGTAAGTCCTGCTAAGAAATGCAACCATACATGATTATCGTTAACCCACTGTATACCAATAATGACCCTGACGTGAGGGCACAGTGAAAGGGCAAAGGACTACTTCAGGAGTCTCTGACTCGACATTTTACAGGTGATTGGATGCCTTTGGGCATCTAAGCAGGATTATGTAACCAGGAATTGCATCACTTACAGAAGGGCATTGATAAACTTCTGCCAGACTGCACATTGTCAAGCCCAGGAGACTGTGCTATACATAGTCACTGCTATGAAAATCATAAATCTAACTGGACTGCAGGTGTTCTTTGCTATTTATTTAGTTGTTTTTATTCTTATCATTTCTTGCATCATTTATAAAACAGCCTAAGATCACTTCTTTTATTTAACAAATGTCTTAAATTTCTTTCATTCTTGCATAGCTTACATAGCTCAAGCAATCTGGAGTTGGGACTCCATCACAGAGCCTTAGGTTCAATCCTGCATATTTTCATGTGACGTTTCAGTTGTATGAAGTGCCACTGGGTAGCTTTTACTTTGAATTTCTTCAGCCTTTTCCCAGCTAATCATCGTTTCACCACTGCTCCATACTATTTCATCACTATTCCCTGAGGTATGCAGTGGCACTAACCAGGCAGCACATTATAACAATGCTGTGTTTTTATGTTGGGGTCTTTAGCTCAGTACCTGGCTGTTTGCATAGTGAGGAAGTCAGTTACAATTCCCATTCACTCAACGTAGTTTCAGTTCCATTTTAGAACAGTTTCCAAGTCACAGGAGAATTTGTTTCAGAGGTTCTGTGTGGATACCCTGAAAAAGATGATGATATGGCAGTGCAAGTGATGACCCGAAGCATTGGAGGAATTGCTAAGTACTCATGTCCTCGAGGACAGTACATGGTGGGCAACTCAACGAGAATCTGTCTGAAGAAGGGCACTTGGAGTGGGTTAATGCCTGTATGCAAATGTGAGTTAGAAAGCATTCTTTCTTTCATGTTCGAACACACAACATTGTGCATAGTAACCATACAAATGCAACAAGCGTATGCTTAAGTACTCCTTGCCTCTACAGCCCTCCTTACTGACAGATGTCCATTCTCCTCTCCTTTGGCATCCATCTCTCTACATCTTCCAGCCATCTCAATGTAGGTCTTCTCACTTTTCTTCTCTCATCTGGATTATTTTCAAATATTTTCTTACGTACTTTTGTTTGATCCATTCTAATTGCATGTCCCAACTACTCCAAAATTCTTCTGTTGATATCTGCTACCGGATCAGGAGTTTTATATGATTCTCTCAATTCTTGGTTGGTTCTGGCTCTCCAGATAACTTCCCCAATTACTGGTTCATACATCTTCCTCAGAACTTCACTCTCCCACATATATGACGTAAGTTTATTCTCTCACTTAATAACATCAATACACCTCATAATACTCATATTTTTATTAGCCCAACATGTTTTGGCCTTACAACCACTATCAAGGGCATACACCCACAGCTATCAAGAAGTTACCACCAACACTGCAGTCCAAATAACAAATTCGGTTCAAAATAATATTTAATTGTTCTGTACATAATTAGAATAATTTTTAAAATAACATACCTCAGGTTAAAACTCTTCTCAGTAATTATAATTAATATTTTGTGCATGAAATTTTATAAAATTCTTATATGACAACTGTCTTATGTGAATAAAATCGTAGACTGAGTTATTTTATTCCCAAATACATAATTTTAAGGTAAGTGCTATCACATGTCACATTTACAAGGGAATCATATGGAATATATATGCCAGTTTTTCTGATTACACAAAGTTCTATCAAGAATGCTTCTTCCTTCCCAGTTTTAACCTATTCACAGTTCATTATTACTTACTCACAATAATCAAACATATCAACATAAGTCTGTAAATGTATTTAATCTGAGATTGGTTATAATCCCATAGATGTGGACTGCAAACATCCAGGGCCAATAGAAAATGGCCGTGTGATTGTGATGAACCAGACCACAACATACAACAGTGCTGTGGAGTACCACTGTGTGCCCCATTATGAGCGCATAGGGCCATACTTGAGAAAATGCATGGAGGATGGCACATGGTCTGGAGAGGAACCTCGGTGTGAAAGTAAGTATCACCAGCAGAAACTTACGTACCCTCTGCAGACTTCTGCAAGCCAAATGTGTAAGTTACCGATACAAATTTCTTTGTGGAATGTTCACTCAGTCATGGTACTGATTGCAAATACTGCAAAAATAAGGATTGGCCTCCTCCTCCTCCTTCATCAGCCTTTTCATTTTAGGCATACTGAGACCTCTTTAAGGTATTATGATACCAAATCCTTCCATCATTTCAGAGGTATGCAAATGTGTATGTATGTATGTCTTCCAAACCTCCATTTTTCCTTTAAGCTGATGTTTTAAAATACTTTTTCGAATCTTGTCACATCTCAGTCTATCAAAATATCCTTCCCAGCTTCTGTATTGCTCTACAAATTCTGTTGTTCGTGAAATTTGCAGTTTACTAATAATTTCTTTATTTATCTTACAGTCCAAAAAGCTGTACCATGCAGTCCTCCCTAGGAACAAATTTCTGCTGATATCAGGCTTTCATCATCAGTATTTGTTAATGTCCATAACTCACTATGATATGATAATGTTTGTCTAGCAAGTGTTACTTATATTTATGTTGTTGCCTGCCTGGAAACTAATGATGGTTTCAAGATCTTTGTAACTTTTACATTCAAATTCTTCTCTCCTTCAGAGGATTAAACTCTTAATTTGTTCTTATCAACAATGCATATCTTGTTTCTAATTGCTTCTATTCCTTTAAAAGCAGCAAATTTTAGTTTTTAAGTATTTGTCTCAATGTTTTGAACTTAGTATGCAAATAAATTAATCAGCTCTGTTTTGCAGTGACTACAGGTGAGGAAAATGAGCCACAGAACCTGGGGCTGTCAATTGGTATTGGAGCTGGTGTGATTCTGTTCCTGCTTGTTGTCGTGGGACTGATCTACTTGAGACTGTAAGTAATTTGTATCTCATTTTTTTACTTATAGTTTATTTACAGATGCTTTTAATAGCTCAGACTCTACAGCATAAAATGGTAGGATGATTAGTGAGTAATAAATTGAAGGGAAGTGAAAGATAAATGGCTGTTGCCTATTTTTAAATACTATTCCAGCAACTGAATGGAGGAACTGAGATAAACTGTGAGAAATCTCAATCATGATAGACAATCTCAGGGCCAAGATATGTACCAAGACCTACTGAATACAATACAAACGTGCTTTCTATTGACTGCAACATTTAGTCAGATGCAATAGTTATGTCTGGAAATATGGCACATGTAAAATTCTTGGATAAATTAAATTTAAGTAAAATATGTCTACCAAGATATAACCAAGAAATATAAAAGTTAAGTCAATGTGACTGTATTAACAAACTCAGAAATTTTAAATTATTTTTCAGACGAAAAGCAACGCCAGTAAAGAACACAGAAAATGTTGAAGGTGCAGTACGAAAAGAGGACCAGAATGCAGCTGTGATGTCCTACGCAACACTAAATGATGGCAATGCTTACGGTATGCCAAACCATACCAATATTTATGAAAATATTCATGAAGACAACATGTATGATGCACCTTATGAAGAAACATCACATCGTCACCACTATGAACCCACACCGATCAGTAGGGGGACAATGAGACCAATGGTCACAATAAACGGAGTGGCAGTTCGTTGAGTGTAGACTGTGACTATTAATCAACTTATCACAAGTGATTCTGAAATCAACTACAAAAACTAATGAATTTATTTATATGTTAAAACTGAGCAGGAAAATAGTTGATGCTCATTTAAACTGTATATATGAGATGTGCAAGACCACAGTTTTTATAACAGTTTGCCATCTTAGAAAATATATAGAGTTCTACTTTTGTAAGTTGTTTGTATTTTCCAAAGCAAATGGACATTTCTTTCTATATAATAACTTTGTTGATGCTGGCATGTAGCATTGTAAGCGATTATCAAAATTAGAGAGGAATCAAACATTCTGCCTCCTTCTTCAGGGTATTTTTGGATGGAGGAATTATGTTCCCCTGAAACAGTGGTAACCACCTACAAGACTACACAACATCAAACCCAGAAGACAACAATATAAATTCTCACCACCAAGAAAATCTCAAATCTCATAGCCAGACACTGTTACCCAACTGTAGCTCAGAGATCAGATCCATGAATGAATGAATGAATGTACGTATGAATATTATGTAGAAACACTTTGTATAATAGCTGCTTGTTTGTGTGTGAATAAAGATGATTTGTTATCTTGCATTGAACTGTTAATCGTGTGTGAGTGAATACAACTCTAGATTATATTCAAATGGCACAAGCCATATTTTTTTCATTTCAACAATACAGAACTGAAGTAAGAAAATATATCCATGATGAGGGGTGCAGAATGAAGGCTATGTAACCTGTTCAAAGTCACTATTCATGCATTCGGAATACTGAGGGAAGCCATGGAAAACCACAGTCTGAATAATCATTTCAAAGCCAGATTTTGAACTGGGTATCTTAATGCAAGTCACCTGCTTTACCACTGCCTGTTATGAATCTGCAGACTAAACAATAATGATAATCCCTCCCTCCCTTTGTGTTGTATGGGTGCAAATCTTGGTCTCCTGTTCTGAAGGAAGGAAAATCATTTGAAACATAACATTCAACTAAACCAAATTTATAAATTCAAATATGAGGGTGAGTCAGCAAATAGGTCACAAATGGATATAAAATATGGGATATTTGAACCTGGAGAAAACATTTATTTCTTGATATATCCTCCCACCAACATTGATACACTTGCCCCATCTCTTTACCAGTGTGTCGAAACCCGCAGCATAGAAGACTTTTGATTGTTTTCTCATCCAATTCCACCAACTTCGTTTTGTCATTCCTGACTTTCAAACGTCTTGAGAGAATTTTTCAACCCAGCTGTGAACTGATATACACGTCAAACACTTCCCGCAATAAATATTAAATATTTCTTTATGAATATCCTTTGCATTGGGTCCTTCTGCCCACAAAAAAGGCACAACAGAACGCTGCTCTTTTGTATTACACTCCTCAAGCATGGTCAGCATTTTGACTACTGAAACCAGCCTCCAAAAAAGTGCGTGCACGTCTGCTATCTAGACTGGCATGAAACTGGACTGCGCTGCTACCTAATGATGTATATAGAAAATTTATGATTTGCATTACAGCCGTTCCACTTCTGTTTATAACCTATTTACTGATTTTCTCTTGTAAAATACAATGTATCTCCACTGAAAAGACTAACTGGTTAATGCTGTATGAAGAAATGATAGCTGTTTATTGTGAGAACCATACAAAATGCATAAATTCATTGTGTGAGTAAAATACAGACTTCTTTATTGTTAAAGAACATATATAAAATTGTCACTGTGGATAAGGAAACAGATGACCCATCCACTGCAGAAAACTTCCCTGAAAATAATTATTGATTTAAACAGGCAAGCAATGAGTATTCATACCAGTGTTTAAACTGAATATTGGCAGAGTTTAAATTGATTTTTGTTGTAGATATTTAATTGTAAACTTCAGGCAATTTAAAAAGTCATTCTTCAAGATATGTTACTTGTAATTCCCACAGTCAACAGATACGTAAATTCATGTTAGCAAAACCTGTGTTTACACTGCATGTTTGCTTTACAGTGAATCTTAAATGAATTTCAAATTCATCAAAGTACACAAAAACACAAACATGTGTAGCAATGATGTTCAAAAGAAACCGCTCATATACTCAGGGGTGACAAATATGCCACAGGCATTTTTTTGCTCCTAAGTTTGCATACAGATTTACAAATCGCTTACCCAATTTAGTATGTTAACTCTAGGCCGCGCCATAGCTCAAGCGGTTAGTCCCTGGCTTCCCACTGCAGCGGACCGGGTTCGGTCCCGGGTCTGGTCAAGCGGGATGTGTGGTGGACAAATTGGCGCTGGGGCAGGTTCTTTCCGAGTACTTCGGTTTTCCCTGCCAATCTTCATTCCACCAATTGCTTCACAATCACCCTCACCTATCATCTGGGGCTGGTACAATAGGTCAGAAGTGGTCACAGTACAAGGGCCTTAGTCCCACCCCACTAGCAATAAAAAAATGTAAACTCTAAACAAAGTTCATTAATGTACAGATAGATATAACCTGGCTGTTCAGATTTCCCAGAAAGAACAGGAAAACCATCTTAAAGAAAAGAATAGGAGGATGTGGGCTGGATTAATCTGGCTCATGATAGAGTCCAGGGTTGGGTTCTTGAGAACATGGTAGTAAACCTTCAGGTTCCATAAAATGCATACATTTTGACTAGCTGGGCAACTATTAATTTCTGATGGACTGTGTTCCATGGGGTTAATTTGTTGTGTCATAGAATCAATGAACCATTACTTTTTTTTAAATTACCTGGACTCCATGAATGGTAAGCATCAGACAAGAGAAATACTTCACAAGGACAAGATTTAGAATGGTGTACATAGGTTCATACGTCCCCGAAAATATCTGGAACAAAATTAAAATCATTTTGCCCTTTAACTTGTATTCAGGGATGTGAAAATGCATATCTGGAGATGCAGCTAGTGTAATTCTCCAAAATATTGGTATGTGGTGTCATAATCGAGANGGTTCATACGTCCCCGAAAATATCTGGAACAAAATTAAAATCATTTTGCCCTTTAACTTGTATTCAGGGATGTGAAAATGCATATCTGGAGATGCGTAATTCTCCAAAATATTGGTATGTAGTATCATAATCGAGAATAGCACGATCTGCATAGTTTTCTTCAATCTACCTCACAATTAAATGCAACCTAATTGATGGTAACCTTCTGGCCACATAAATCACTTTGCATTATTAAAAAAATGAAACGAAAAGCCTAAACAGAGGAAGTTCACATTCATCAGTTTAAAGTGTTTTGAAATTAATTTCTAAAAACAAAAGCCTAACTTTGGACGTTTGCGTTATTTCTAAAATTATGGTTGGCCTTATGATTAAATCTACTGCAGATACAGTATCTGACTGTAACGTCTGAAGCCCGCACGATCTGTGACGACGTTATCGACAAATATAGACTGTGGTACCTTCAGCCTACAATTGGTCAGGGGAGCTCTGGAGAAACTGCATCTGCGTAACACTATTGTGACAAGGACGGTTGCAAACCGGCCAATGACTCCATATTTAATACTAGTATTTAAGCATTAGTACCCAGAATTAAATATAATAAATTTCACAAAGTTAATAGAAAGTCCATCGAGTGTAACAATTTGTAGGTCACTTTTTTATCACTTCTGCCTTACATGTTTCGGTTTGACACAACCATCATCAGAGGCACTTACTACAATTATGAAAACACTGTCGTTGTTTATGATGTTCACAGTTATGTTTGTTGTGTGGACGCTGCTACAATATGTTGACGTGTAAAAGCACAACACTTGCTAGGATAGTTGAGTACACTATCAAATTCTCACTTTTCATCCGAAACTGNCACTCATTATTCCCCTGCGGGAAATGGTGACGTGCTAGACATTGTGGTTCACAAAAATATCAGAGTGTCAGATGTTATCGTCTCTGATATTTTGGACTCAGATCACCTACCAATAGTATTCCACATACTGGATCACGTTAAAATTAGGAATCTTTCGGAACCCATTGAAAAATTTACAGATTGGGAGCGGTTTCAACTAGAAACTAGAAATTAATTCGGGGGTAGAAGCCGATAGNAAACCATGAACATCGGGTGGAGGCTAGAGTTCAAGCTCTGCTGGAAACCGTAGATGACAACCACCCTCAAAGGAATCAGACCATGTGACGTTCAGAAATTAATAAATTCCCTGAAATTATAAAAGGCCTGTGGAATTGACGACATCCCAAATGAATGCCTCAGGCACCTTCCAAGATGACCATTGGTTCACCTAGCCCATTTATTCAATCATTATTTTCGGCTTTCTCATTTTCCAAATACTTGGAAGGAAGTAAAAGTAATAACTTTACCCAAACCGGGTAAAGACCCGAAATTTCCTGAAAATTTAGGTCCGATCAGCCTCCTGTCCACGACAGGAAAACTGTTCGGAAAAGTAATCTTGAAATTCCTCCGTAAACATATTGAAGAAAGAGGCCTGCTGAACGCAAGTCAGTTTGGTTTTCGTGCACGTCACAGCACGACATTGCAATGTATGAGGCTGGTGGACCACGTGACCCTTAATTTCAACAATAAAATGTCTACGGCTGCAGTGTTCTTGGACATTGAAAATGCCTTTGATACCACGTGGCACTCAGGAATGCTGTATAAGTTATCAAAATTGGAATTCTCTAACTGTTTGACCAAGCTAATTGGGTCCTTTCTTCCTTAGCGTACATTCAGGGTCTCGGTTGAAGGCAAAATGTCAATGCCAAGGGAAATGCAAGCAGGGGTGCCACAAGGTTCCGTCCTTTCTCCTACTCTTTTCAGCTTGTACATAAATGATGTCCCCCACACTCATGGTGTTCACCTGGCCCTCTTTGCAGACGACATCTGTCTATATGCGACAAATCGCATGGAGGGTTTTATTGTTAGAAAACTCCAGCACGGTCTCAGCTCAATGGAGACCTGGTGTGAGCACTGGTATATTAAAATTAGTGAAGATAAGACTCAGAGGGTCTACTTCTCTCGTGGTCGTCGACCGCCTGAGTTTTGTCTTACTCTAAATGGAAGAAATATTCCATTTGTAAATAGTGCAAAATATCTAGGTGTAATCTTCGATAAGAGAGTGACATGGAGATTACACATAGAAATGATCGAAGCCAAGGCCTTCAGAACAATCATTAGAGTATATTCCCTATTTAAAAGTGAGCGATTGATCGTTAACATTAAACTGACCCTCCATAAAGCTCTTATTAGATCCGTAAGATTCTCCGCACCATTGGCATTTTTCCACGGTGCACACCGGTCTGCGAATTGCACATGGCATTCAAAATTCCATACGTATATGATTTTATAACAAAATTATGCAGGCAACAAGCAGAAGTCAAACAAAATCATGAAAATGAGAATATTCACAACATTGGACAAGGCGAAGCCTGACATAGAATGTATAAGGTCTTAAACTTGGCGGTGGTCAGGCATACGACCGTTCAAGTGACTAGACTACCGTGGTAGCAAATTATACTAGAAATAGAGCATAATCTACTGTGCAATGCCTGGATTGACAGAGGTCTTGTGTATATTGTACATAGAAAGTAATTAAGACTAGAATTAAATTGCAAATATAATTCAGTACTGACAATGGA